TCAAGGTTATATCAGACACAGTATCTCCTCACAAGAATAATTGTGTGCATGCATGAACAAAAGAAAGGCTGAAAGGAACTTTGGGTATTGAGGGATGGTGAATACAAGTCTCAAATAGGTGCGCTTCAGACCTAAATTTAAAATGAGCTGATTGGGTCCTTTTGATTAGTCTCTAGGAAATGCATGCATGTCTATAAAGTCCCCCAACATTGATATATGACAAAAGTATATGTGTACAACTATCTTTCTGAGGACCATGTGACAATTAGCCCTTCAACTGTGAGGACAATTTGGTCAGTCTTCTGTAAAACTTGTAAAGGGCTGTAAGGGATAACACTTTTAGGGTTAGGGTTAAGATTAGAATTAGGTTAAGGTTAGGATAGGATACAGGCAAAGTATTATGTAGCTGTGTCCTCACAAAGGAAAAGACCAAGTATATATGTGTGTGTGTTTAAGGGTTAGGGTTAAATATACAAAAAAAACACTTCACCAAAGTAGCAGCTGTGAATTTGAAATAGTGTTCAGAGTTTACTTCCCTTAGGGTCAGATTTACACCACACACATACAAACAGCTGTTTCCTTCTGTGTAAGGGTATGCACGGAGAGTAAAGTTAATATATTTGTCCCTCTCTCCAAGGAAAACAGAAGCACATTGATCCCCTCTTAAATCTTCCCATCTTGTCACATATAGATAATTATGTTCTTGAACAGGATGGCAAAGCAAGACAAGCATTGCCAGCGGCTTCATGCTAATAGACAGGTTTAGCGACTGAAGTGCAGTGAGTGAGAGCAATGCCAGGGGTGTCTTCACTTTCTTGATGAGCTCACCAGTGTTCCTGACAGATGGTGTTTGTTACCAAAAGAGAATTGTACTTCCATGGCTGTGCGATTCACACTTTTTCACTGCATATCCCTCTGGCTCAATCACAGATAGTGTTTATCCATGCGTGTACCTCGCCTCCTCCTCTGAGATGGATAACCTGCTTTTCTCCTGCGTGTGCTTCTCACACCTTTTTCCAGGTGGACTGCCTCGACAGCAGCACAAACAAAACTATACTGCACTCAAACACAAAGGGTATAGCAGTGGGATTTTATTTTTCTGCCATGTTCCGCCCTAAACTCCTTTAACATTTCATGAAAACTAAAAGCAAACTTCCATCTTCCCTTGCACTTTCAATGCAATAGAATAACATCTCTTCCATGTCTATTTTCTCAGATTTGCATAAAAGGCCAGAAAAGAACTGCTGGAAATTCACTCAAGATTGTTAGGAAGCAGGCAGACAAATACAAAGACATTTGGAGTCTCCTTTCTATATCTAATGGAGAGATGGTCTAATGTGCCACTCTGGGTCTTTTCTAGAGATTAATACGTTAATAGGGCAGTTACAAATGAATAGCTCCTTTGGAAAGAGCAGTCATAAGTGTTCCTGGGCTAATACAGTTAATAAGCCATAGTCACGCCACAAAATGTACCACAGAGGAGGCTCTCATAGCCGTAGGGCAGAGGGATGATATGGTTCATTAAAGATTCACTGAATAATTCTCCTGTTCATGGCTGTGGTCATGGCTTCGTACATGACCAGGCCTTGTTTAGTTGGCACACAAAGTACACTAGCATGTCTCCAGGCAAAAGTAGCAGGATCTGAACCGCGATCAAACAGGCATGAGATCATGCAATCAGACTGCGCTTTCTTCTAGTAGTGGAGAGCAAACTGGAGTGTGTGAAAAAAATGTGACTTTTCCAACTCCCTTTGTCAAGCCTACACATACATAGATCTACATATGTATAACTCAGTTTTCTTAAAGTTGCCTGCAATCCTTTGGTTTTCACAACTATTCTTAGTTATGTCTGAAGAAGCACATACATCTACATAATTTCAGTATGCAGAGCCCTGTGTGCACGAATCCCATCTCCTATAAGACTTGCAGCAGTTCCATCATATCTGAGTGATGATAGAGACAGTCAGTCTGTCCTCTGCAGATTAGTGCTATTCATTAACATGTAATGAAGTCTCCCCTCAGCAGAACAGTGGGTGGTCATGCCCCCTTTTTAACATGGACCTTGGGAGCTCTGCCACATCTACAGTAGCATACAAATGAACAGGCAGATGGAAGTTAAAATATGCCATCTATCACTTTACAATTCCACCAACGCAAGGAATTCCTTTAACAGTTGCCAAGATTGTTGCTTGTATTAATAAAGGTTAAACCAATTTTTGTGAAGTCATGAGAGATCATGAGAGAAATAGATCAGACAATCTGTTTTTTGTTTTTCTATTTCTTCTTTAACATATTTTAAACTCAGTGAGTCGATTCTACACTGAAATGCTAATTTTAAAGTGTCGAGCAATACATTGTTGCAAGATGTCAGATGTATATTGAGCTCTAAAGTCAGAGGAAATCCTTGATCCAGAACTGGTCACTTTGTTGTGCATGCATTACTTAACCTTGGCCAGTGTAAATGGAAAATACAAATAGAGTATCGTTACTCCAGAGGACAAGTGTTGTCCAGCTCCTACCATTCATAGTCCACAGAGAAGTGAATTGCTTTGAGGCATGCAATGAACTCCTGAAATTTTCCTGAAATTCTCAGGAGGGGCTGTACGTTAGATTTCAAATGTCGAAGTCAATTGCTCCTGACGTATTCTGTAACTTTTCCTACCAACCCCTGAATGAAATACCCTAAAATCTCTGTGTGAGCCTGTACGAGAATACAGCAAGAAAATGTCAAAGGTTGATACGTTTCTAACATGAGACAGATTCAAAAGTTAATAAACAACAACAAAGAATATAAATATCTCAGAATGAAAGAGGTGCACGTTAAAGAGGCAGAATAAGTTGTCAAATTGGACAGACAACAGGGTTCAAGAGCTTTTGTTGATAAGAGCCGGTTCCTGCCCCCTGCATGATTTACTCATTAACCCCATCGCCTGAATGTTCCGGACATTTTCCTATTATTGTGAACGCGTCTAATCTGAACAATATCTGGTTGAGTTTTTCAAGTGTGAGTCCAGAAAATGTCCAGACCCAATTTTCCATAGATCTTGTCTGAAAGATGTGAAAGAGAGTTGCCTCATAATCTGCAGTCTGTTTTTATGGACACCAATCGGCCGGTCACCTTTCCAAGTTGCATTGTGTAACTAACATTGTTTTGAAAGCTCAAGTACAGCTGAACAGAGCTTATCAAGATATGGATTTAAACTTTGAGCACAGTCTAATTGTTATTGTTCTGTAAATCTCGGTCTGTGGTTTTGATTGATTATCCCCTGCTGTTGACACACTGCCTCTGTTGTCAGAGCTCTGAGGAAGGCAGGCGTGTCACAATGAGGAGCAGGGTAGCAAAGACCTGTCCAGAGCTGTGTTACTGGGAGTGTAATGGCTATTGATTGGTGCATTAGCTGTATATTGGCATGACTGTATTATCTTTTGATTGCTGACTTAGTGCCCTGACATCTTGTGAGTATTATGTTGTACAGTAATAAATTGCATTGGATGATGTGTCATAGAGGGAGTTTTACTTCTTGTTCTAGTTTAATTTTGATTGACAATTGTGGCCTAGTACTTTACTTCCAGGACTAAATATAGCTGCAAGTAGTTACATGATACAAGCACATTATGTTACATGAGTACTTTAAGGATTTAATTACCAAGCCAGCAGTCGTCATCATGATTGAGGAAAACACTAAAACACTGATGGGATATGTCTTACTTCCTGTCAACACTTAAATTGTAAGTGTGCTGAAAATTGAAAATTGTCCTAAAATACGTCAGTGTTGCACTTGGAGTGAGGTCTGTTGAAAATACAGATCCAGTTATGCAAGGGATTCTGTAGGTTCCAATAAGTTCAATTTAAGATCTTTTTCAGATCAGAATGAATGAAGTTTAAGATAAAGTCCAAGTATGACAGATATAAAGGTATATCAGAGTCACAGAATTACTTACACTTCCCCATGGTTACAGCGAAGGTGAAGTAGTCTAGTCAAGAATAACCCTTGACACATGACATAATCTTACAAACTACAGCTAGAGACAGTTGGTACATAATCGTTCCCAAGGCCAAGCCGAGTAGACTGATATTAATAATGATATAATAATAATTTAATGCAATTTATATTATCTGCCAAAAATGATGAATGTCATGGTAAGAAGATCGAGACGACTAGCACACTCAAATGTCTTGCATTTACTTGCGTGTACATCATAAGGCACATGTTAATGTATGTAGCCCTCTGTGAAAAATCCTTCTATGTTGAACCGAGTAAATATGCAAAATTTCTGCAGTCTTGAACTTGGAGACCAAAAAGAATCAGCTTATCACTGGACCTTCCCCTCATTACATTCTCCTGTCTGCTTGGATGCCTCAGCACACAGAATCCCCGAATGGCCTATATACCAACCACATAAAAAAGAAAGAAATAATAACATTTATATCTAACCTGCACCCGCTGCTATGGTGTATATGGTTGAGTGTGTTTTTGCTTCTCCATGTTTCTGTCTAGTCTCACCTTGCTAGTAAGTAAATGCTGTACAACAAACTCCTAAGTGTTACCGTGTAGTTAAAAAATACCAGCATGATAATTAGAGATGATTAACATGAAGCTTCTACAGGAGATCAAATGATTATCATCAAAGCCAACACAAGTCCTAACACCTCTTCACTAGTGTGTATATGTTTGTGAGCCTCTTGTGTTGCCACCTTTGCTGTAACCTCAAGGAGATGCAGTTGGCCAGGATTGCAGAGTGTGAAAATGTGTGTTAAAGTAAATTTCCCTCTCCATGTAGGAGGTGAATCAAAGAGTGACTTTGTGGCTCCGAAAAAAAGATCAGAAGCAGCTCTGTTCTTGGTTTTAAACTGCACTAAGTTATCGGATTAAAGGTAGAGCACAATTAAAAATATCACAATGATATTATAAATCACCATACTGATCAGTGTGGGCATGATGTGGGATGTGAATGGTAAAATAGGTGCAGGGTTTATATGCAGAGTGACGGACACTTACAGATATTTTCTTGACCATCTCCTGAGGCTTGACATCCATCTTCATCATCACAGCCTGTGGAGCTGCCCTCTGACTTCCCACTGCCCAGCTCGTCCCAGGCCTCCACCTGGTCCAGGTTCGGAAACCTCTCCTGGGTCTCCTAAACCACAAACAAAGCAATACACGGTCTATAAAGCACTGGTTCATGTATGATATTACTATTTTCTGCATCATAATTATCTGCTTCTATACAGTTTCCACCCTCTAGTCTCTCTGGGAGGAACATTTGATTTATGACAGTTGAAATCCATTTCCTGCAACGCCACATAATACCAGTAAGGAGAACAGAGGGTCCCAGTGGATCATCGAGCTTCCTCGTGTCACCTGTGTTACTGCGCTTAAGTTGACACAACACCGCTCCTGCCCAGATATAACAGGCCTCGTATATTTTAGTGTCCATCAGATGACACATAGCCTCCTGGGGTTAGAGTAGAGCAGTGTGGGTGGTGTACAAGAGCAAGGGCCCTGGGTGGTAGGATGATGTGTTGCATTTAATTACAACCACATTTTAAGAGGAACATTGATTATAAGGTTGAGGAACAGCATCCCCAAACTGCAACATGCAGCTTTTCTTTTAAACTCAGTACAAGGTTCCTGGTGTTCAGTTTGGATAACTCATGTATGTTTAATGATCAACATAATAAGAATGACAGAGTTTTCATTGCACAATCTATTTCTGTGGCAATTACATCTGCAATCATCCTGATGTTCGTTTATATTTCAGTTCACTCATTGAGCAAATCATGATCTGTGAAATTTGAATTTCAGTGCATCAAACCATCAACGGATTTTATACAGTTTACAGTTTAATAGATTGTGAATCATTTGCCACGCAATTTTACTTCAATATTTTATTTTATTTGACAGCCTGACTTGTGGGAAGCATATCACATCGTACTACGACCAGAGTTCAGAGTTAAGACTCAGCCTGAGGCACGAAGCACTCTTCTTTAACACTCATCTCAGCATGGGGAAAACTAATTGGACCACCTGCTGGCCCTTCCTGCTGTCCACCATCATCAAGGTGGTCTTTGTTCCATTACACCATATCTGAGTAGCTCTGATGACACAAGAACAAATGGTGCTTTGGAGTAAGAAGCCAGGACACAGGCATGAATACCAGATTTGAAGAACATGTGGAACAATAAAGACACATGCGGTTTGCTCATGTTGACCATCCTTTTGCTTCATGTGCACATACTCACACCATCAAACATTCATGAGAAAGCAGATAAATATAACTCCTGGAACAAAACTGACATTCACATGGAGCAAACAAGCACTAAAGACATGCTGAGAGGTGGCTTGGGATGTTGAGGAATGACTATTATCCTTGTTATTGACAGCAGATTCTATAAGTCAGTCAGTCTCTCAAGCTTTGAATACCCCAAAAGAAACATTACAACCACAACCATCTCAAGAGCAAAATTCCCCATTTTTTCCTCCATTAACCTCATATAATATTTGGTCACATCACCCACCCTTAAGAGTCAGCCGTGCTAGCAGCAGTTCACAAATTAGAAAAGGTTGTTTCCCACCTTGTTAGAAACCCATGCAAAGCGTAGAGGACGTAAACAGACCCGAGTGGGAGAAAAGGAGTCATGAACAATCATAACACGAGGCCAAGCTTCATGAAACTGGAGTGTGCCCTTTAGCACAAGCAGCTAAAACATATCACTCATGCCCACCACAAAATAAATTGAAAGCCACTGATGGTCAGTGAATAGTTTGGTTTTTGGACAGTTAGGTACAAGAGGATTACTTTGAAAAAATATGAACATTATTACACACTCACACTTTTGCACTTTATGGCTATAGAGAGGCTCGCATTACAGCCTGTTGACAGGCTCTTTGTGAGTCTGGGTTCCACCTGTTTTGAGGCTGAAATGTGATATGCCGTGTCGAAATAAGGACAAGCTTTGGTTTGGGACTTGTGGCTCATAAGAGACACAATAAAAAGCATCATTCCTGCTTCAGCTGTAAACTATACCAAGTAAAGTGTCATACTCATATTTCTCCTCACACTCTGAGGAAACTGTTGTGCTGCTATGAATTACAGGTGAAAGTACAATGACTTGTGTACAAGAAACGTATGAATTTAAGTCTCATTCACTGCATTAATCCAGATATTTTAGCTGAGGCCTGCAGAGAAAAGATAAGAGATAATGGAAGATCGACAGAAAGAGAGAGAAAACGTCTTTCTTGTTTCTGGACAGCTACCATGATAAACACATTAAGCCTTTTTATTATGCAGAGCAACTGAATAAATCCAATTCGCATTCCATGAGTTCATAAGAAAATGCTGTGCTGAACAGCAGAATGTTGTGTACCAACACCATCCAGATAACCAGTTGGGTATTAAGCTAATAACCGGGCCGTTCAGAGGACGTTTAACACAATGCCGCTTGGCCCAGATGTCCTTAAAGCATGTTAATTAGAGAGGGAATCAATTAAGGCGCCGTCGCTGTGGAAACCACAGTCGGATCGTTCTAGAATTGTTGGTTGGCCGCTGGCCAGAGCAGTTTGTTGGTTTGTTGTGATGAAGTCAGGTCTGAAAAAGTGCCAGAGCTCCACTGTGGTTAATTCAGAGGTAACACATAGGGAAGTGAACTGTTTCATTCCAACAACACATTAAAGGAGAAATTTCTAATTTGTCCCTGGAGCTAAAGGAAGAGAGATGGACATAATTGAAATATGAGTTCTTAAACACAGCAGAATGAATTATAAGCAGTGAACAGTCTCTCTCTCTCTCTCTCTCCCTCTCTCTCCCTCTCTCCCTCTCCCTCCCTCCCTCCCTGCTTTAAAAACACAGAAAGACTTTTGCTGTACTGAAAATGGCGTTTATAAGCAGTGACCACATCTGAGGAAGTTCTTGCACATTAATACTGAGCAACATATGTTAATTTCCAACATGCAAAAATAAAATGTTATACACAGCAGTCTCCTCCTGAACTGTCACACTGTAACCCGTTGGTGAATGTGAGTGGGCAGAATATTTCAATAGCAGCAGCAGCGGCGGGCTTCATGTGATGTACAAAGTAGAGATTCAATGTGACTATAACCCTACAGGGACAGATGTATTTGTTCTAAAATGAATTTCTTTCTGATATGTAACACAATGCTGAATATCATGCTGTTGGATTATAGCGCTGCTGTTTTCCAACAGTCTATAGAGAAAGAGCATTTAAATGGCTAAAGTTTAGTTAAATTGCTATTTACTTGTTATAAAACTGAAATAATAAGATCAATGGCAGACTTGTATAGTTCCTTGTGTCTGCACTGCATTATGGGCTATTGAGAATACCTCTGGTTGACAAATGGGTGTCTGAGCCTCTTTTATGATACATTTCATCCTGCTTAAACACCGTTGGCAGATTTAAAGTGAAACCATTTCTCTTCAGTGCAGTTCTTGTATTTGAGTGTCATGGACATCGCAGTGTGAAGTATATTGGTCCTTTGTTGTGGATTTAGTATTTTTACAGACGATACGTCCATAAGAACGACTGAGAAAATGTCAGAGTGAAAAGAAAGACAGACAGAGGACAAAGGAGAAGTGGATGTAGAGGAGAGAGAAAATATAAAAGTCAGTAATATTTTGCTCAAAGTGTTCAGTCGGGGAGTTTGTGTCTGGAGTTGTGGAAGCAGGTGAGGGTGCTGAGGGTAAGAGAGAGGTTGAAAAAAACAAGCTGCCAGTTTTCTTGAGGATTACCTTGAAATGACCCTGGCATCTGAAGAGAAATCATTTATTCCCACAAGGCTTTGAAAAAAAATCACAAATCATGAAATGTTTTCTCGGGTCTCCTCTCACCCCACCGCCTAATTCTCCCCCTGCTCAATCCTCCGATCCAATCAGAGGATGACGGGGCTGGTTTGAGAGCGTCAGGGACTGAATTCCTGCAAAGAGTTAACCAATCACCTTGAGAAGAGGTTTGCGTATGTGCGTGTGCAGCTTAACCAGGAGGCAAAAAAAGGATAACAACCCAGTTTAATGCGGAAATAGAAAATCTGATTATGAAATTTTAAAATGGGACCATTAGGGATAGTATATCAATATTGCATATTGTGTAAGAGTGTGTGTTCCTGTGCAGGCTGTTGTCAAACTAGTGAAGCAGGATCATAAGTCATAACCTTTGCACGTCCAAATCGAGACATGTGGTCTTTCTCTTCCCTGACACTTTGAAACAGTATCACCTCATTGAGGGCAGTGGTGGTGAAACTGCATATGTGGACAGAGAGGAGAAGAAGGGAAAGAAAAGCTGGATGAGACCTAAGGAAAAAGTGACAGTGGGAATCTGTGGAAGTCTGCAAAAGTCCTCTCTACTTTTAAATTAAAATTCTCTACATTCTCTCACATTCTGTGAAAACTCATAAATCTTTTGTGGGAAAACAAACATCAGCTGAAAGACTAAACAAGTGAGTGAGTGTGAGTGTGAGTGTGAGTGTGAGTGTAAGTGTGTGTGTGTATGTGTATGTGTATGTGTGTGTGAGTGTGTGTGTGTGTGTGTGTGTGTGTGTGTGTGTGTGTGTGTGTGTGTGTGTCCCAGTCTCCAGAGGAAATGGCTACGATTCTCTATGCATCTCAGACTGCATGACCAAGTGAAGGCAGCCAAAAGAGAATAAAGTACACTGTAGGAGTATATTTTTTCCAAAGTACAAGTGTGACAGGGAGAGAGAGAGAGAGAAGGTAGCAGAAGTATTCAAGGGAGAATGACAGGCTGCAAGCAAAACTGTGGATTGCTGCACAGCTTAGCCAGACGTAACTGCTGATTCTGGAAGACATGTGATGTATTGTTTGTGTGGATCAGCTGTGCCTGTTATGGCTAAGCAGTTTCTCTACAGTTCTTAATCAATAGGAAGCCTCTGATTGGCAGATTAAGAAAATCCTGGACTCTGGACTTTAGTAAAACTCTGCATTGCCATCCACAACATGGAAAAATATAATGATTCCAAAGTGATTTCAAATTCGAAGGCGTAACAACACACTGAGCCAAGTACTGTTCTGATGTTGTCCTATTCTGAGGTTGAAGATGAAGCCAATAAAAACCTGCGATCCAAAGCTGACAGCCAGATATTTTTGCCTTGTTGACCTTTCAATGTGAA